ACCTCAAGGAAGTCAGATTTTGTTCGACTTATAGTTATACCATTCTTCAAACTTTACTTACAGGCTAGTGAAAGAAAAAAAATATTTTTGCTGCTCATACAAACGTTGCAATTCAAAGTATTTTGACTACTCTAATGAGATAGTGGTGCTTCTGATGCGAATTTGTCTTAGACATTAGCATTATTTGAACTGAAAAGTTCATCTCCCAAACATAACTTGTAAAGATTGTCAGTATGGGGGATACAGCACAGTGGAAGTTGTACTGAGCTAAGTGATACAGTTGGAATATGGGATAAATTGTGAGCAATTGACTTGTTCCTTAGTAACACTATTATTGATCTTTCCAATAAATGAGATCCAATCCAATAATTCTAGATGCTGGAGAAGGCAAAATCTAAATCATCCTTCCTGCAGTGCCAGTTTTTATAGGATTAAATGCTAAGTAATTGGCCTTCCCTTCCAAAAGCTATTGGAAAAGACAGATTTAATGTTGCTCAGAGCTTTCCAGCTCCATCTGAAGCTTTGTCCAGATTTAAATTAGCCAGAAAGTCCCAGCTCTTTCTCATTGTTATGTAGCCATTGGACTTGGAGGCACAAGAAAGGAATCCAATCCAATCTACCACCCCAAGGTAGGATTATATTCACATGAGCAACATTTCTCCCAAAGAGGAACAAAGAAGAACATGCCAAAATGAAAAAAAAAATGTTGGCTATTCAGTTATTATCTATGCAATGTTTAATTGTATTTTAATTGTCTAACCCAATTTATGTATTGGCTAGGACTTTTATTGTCACATGCAGAAACAATTAAAATCCATGCTATTGTATAGGGCTATTGTTTTTCTACATTAAATTAAATTCTAACATAGTTCTTCCTATATCTGTTTGCAAATTTGCAAAGTCTTCATGTAAATTCATATACATCTTTTGCTTACTTTTCCTAATAATTACATATTTTGCACCTTTTAAAATAGCTAACTGTATCACAAAATACATTCAGGGAATGAATGACAATATATAAGCTTATTTAAGTTTGCATATAGCTTCAGGAAATGTAAATTCAGTTGGTTGGTTGGTTGGGTGGTGGTGGTGAATGATTGATTGATTGATTGATTGATGAAATTGATATGGCTGCCCATCTTATATACCATAACTCTGAGCAGCTTGCAGCAACAACATATAAGAAATAATTTTTAAAATCCAGCATTAAAAAACAGTGCCCTATCTCCTAAAGCAACACTCCCCAATAACAAACAATCAGTGAGCTGCAGACTCACCCCATCCCAATGCTTGGGGGAAGAGTCATCTTTCTAAGGCCCTCCCAAAGGCTAGAAGGGGGAGGCTGGCCAGGTCCCAGCAGGGAGGATGTTCCACAGGGCAAGGATCGCTACTGAGAAGGTGCATTTCCTAAGTCCTGCTAGATGAGAAGCTCTAAGGGAAGGGACCTGGAGCATGCCCACTCTATCTGACCAGGTGGAATGGGCAGATACCCTCAGGAAAAATGGTGCCGCAGGTAACTTGCCCCCATGCCATTTAGGGCTTTAAAAGTGATAACCAACTTGAATTGCACCTAGAAAAACAAAACAAAACTGGAAGCCAGTACAGCTTGTGTAGCAATAGTCTAGTGTGGGCAAACCAAGAGGTGCCTGAGACTGCACATGTCACTGTATTTTGGATCAGTTGTAATTTCCATATGGCCTTTAAGGGCAGCCCCATGTAAGCATGTTGCGGTAATCCGACCAGGAAGCGAATGACTGTGAGTGAGGTCTCCCAGTTCAGGAACAGGTGCAATTATCACACATGATGGATTTGTGCAAAGACCCCCTAGCCATGGCTGCCACCTGCTCCTCAAGCAGAAGCCATGAGTCTAAGAGGTCCACCAAATTGTGCAGCAGCTCTGTCTGGGAAAATGTTACCATCAAGAATCAATGATGACACCTCTCTGAATCCTGGGGGTGGGTGGACAAAGCCACTCTGTCTTGCTAGTGTTGAGTCAAAGCTGGTCCCTCTTCCTCCAGACCCACATAACCTCTAAGCACTGGGTCAACACCTATACAGCATCACCTGCTAGGCCAGGTATGGAGATGTATAGCTGGGTATCATTAGTATACTGATGATACTGCATTCCATCCTGATGAATGATCTCCTCCCACCATTTTCATGTAGATATTAAAAAGGAGCAGTGAGAGGCCTGAGCCCTGAGCCACCTCACACTGAAAGGGCCTAGGAATGAATCTCTTCCCCTCGTCTCCAAATGCCATCTGGAAGTGGCCATGAAGGAAGGATGGTCCCCCACTCCAACTCCCAAAGCCAGTCCATGGCTAATGGTATCAAAAGTTGCCAAGAGATCCAGGAGGGCCAAGACAGTTGCATCACCCTCATGCCAAGCCCTCCAGAGATCATCCACAAGTCCAAATAATGCTTTTTTAGTACTCTAACCCAACCTGAACCCTGACTGAAAAGGTTCCAGATAATCTGGTTCATCTGGGGCCCTCTGAAGCTGAAAGGCCATCACCCTCCCAACAACTTTCTATAAATAGGGAAGGTTGGAGACTGGATGAAAGTTATCCAACACTCTTAGGTCCAAGGGTGGCCTCTTGAGAAAGGGGCATACCATTGCCTCCTTCAAGGCAGGTGGTACCACCCTATCCCACAAAGAAGTATTAATCACTGCTTGAACCTAACCACATGTTCAGGTTCAGATTGTTACTATTATTAGTAATATATTATTATTAATAGTAGAAATAGTATTTTGCCCATATCTAATTTGTTAATTTCGATAGATTTATTGAAAACATAACCACATCTATATCCAACCCATTTTTATAAATTAATTTGAATGGTTGAAGTGTTGGAATAGGACAAGGAAGAATCAGTTTCAGACTCCTTTCTAATAATGAAATCTTCAGAGTGAGCCTCGCCCAAATGATTTTTGTGTATTTGACTTACCCAGCAGAACTTTGATGATGATAACTGGCAAAAGAATTACACGGACTTCTTGAGTTTCTTGCAGAGATTCACACAAAATTACTTGTCTGTTACTGAATTTTTGGAAAGTGGTCTAGAATAATTGTATGTATGTTTGATAGGAAGTCAGCCTCATTTATTTTAATAAAACTGATTTCCAATTTGCTTTTGGAGGAATAGCCACCAAGGACAACAAAGATTCCTATCACAGCTTCAAATGTAATGGTGCCTACTGGTACTGTGTAAACTGGGGTGTATTTTGAGCAGGCAACTGATGAAATCATTCTGATGCTTGCCAGTCAAAAGCATTCCAAACATGTATTTGATGAAATTCCTCACTGAAAAATCAGATTCATAATGGCTGGTGGAATTATTTTCATTGCTGCTTCTCAGGCATTACTGTACTTTTCAGTATCTATAAGAATCAAAAAATTAGCAGCAGATTGCCTTGAATGTCATTTTGAAATCTGGTAATCTCCAGTTCCATACTGACATAATCAAAGTTAAACAGCACATTAATTTATTTAGAAATGTCACTAACATTTACTTTCAGAAAAGGGATTGAAGTAACCATCGTGCAGGATTATGGTTGCTCAAAATCATTAAATCTGTCATTACACTCTTGGCCAAGCCTAGTCAGATGATTATTGTGTTTCTCAGTGTTGAAGAGACCAACAGCAGCTTTATTTTCTCTTAGTGAAGAAAAATGCTGCATTTTACATTTCTTCACTTGCTGTACCAGAGGGATACATTCTGAGTTGAAAGTTGTTACTTCACTAATGATGTCAGTAATTTTCTTCTCTTTGCCCTCATGTGGTGGTGCCCTCCCAGTTCTTCTAATGAAAATATTTCCCAGTTATACTGAGGTCAAAACTGACCTAAATCCAGACCCCAGGTTTAATATGCTAAAACAATGCAGTAGGGACCATCTAGAAGATACCTGATCATGTCATCCAAGATCAGTTTGAATTTCTCTCCATGGAAGCCACTTCCACCTCCCTTGAAACCCTCCCAGTTGGGGAAATCTGCTTAGTCTTGGCTAGTTATGAGTTAAAGAACACTGTTATCTGTTGAGTAGCAGCTCAAGGAAAGAGGGAAAGTTATGTCCTCTTTACAATTGGTATTGAAACTGAGTGTTGCCCAACAATTGGTATTGAAACTGAGTATTGCCTGGTGCACTACTAGTTGCTATTGCTACTCACTTCTCCAGTGCAGTTTTTTTGGGTGATATTAGGGCTGTGCAGGGATTCAAAGGAATACTTGGCTTTGTTGAAGCTTTGAACAAAGTTCTTGTCTGCAGCTGCTTTGCAAGGCATTGGGAGTCTCCTCACTTGAAAGACTGAAGGGACAGGATAGGGCCACTTAAGTTGGGTCTGTTCTTACCAGTCTTCTTTCACTGATCTCCCTCTGTGAAAGAAGGCTGAGAGAAGCCTTCAGCAAGTGGTATGGGAGTAGGTTCAGAGTAGTCTACTTCTGCATTGCTGGTTGCTCGATTGGGGATCGTCCAAAATGGATGTCTCCAGATGTACTGGGGAAATCTTGCAATGTACACTTGAGGCAGCTAGTCTGAAAGCATTGCCTGCCTGCTTGCCTTCTTCCAGGACCAACCAATGAAAGCACCTGGCTGTTGCCCCTAAGGGAAGTAAGGCAACAATACCACCTACCTGCTTACTTTCTATCCATTGGCCAAAGCTTCTGGCGAGCTGGTATGAGAGCATTGTAGATGGCATTCCTAGTCACAGCATCACAGGGGAGCTCTTGCAATGCATCCTGTCTGCTTGCCTCTGCCTGGCCGAACATGTACCCCAGAAACTTTAGTTGTCCTTGCCTGATAGCTTACCTTCCCTAAGATGCACTGGCAAGAACTCTTGTTCAGTGGGTGCTAGAAGGGTCAGTTGGGCCATAATGTCCCAGGGTTGCTCCTGGCCAGAATGTTCCATCCACTCACCTGTCTGGTGAAGACCACTGGCCATTCGATGCAAAAGGAAAGAGAGCCAGAATGCTGAGATGACCATTTTCTTTTCATGCTGCAGATATTATTGCAATGTTCACTGAAGATAGACAGTCTGGAAGACTTTCAGTGAAATCCAAGAGGGCTCCAGACTGAGTGGCTGCAGCAAACACCACCAAAGGTGAGTACCAAAGGTCTTCTAAGCTCTGTGATTTCAGCACATCCTGTGGGGAGCTTCAAAGCCACCCATCCTGGAAGCACTTCATTTAGCCTGGGGGAGATGACTCAGAGGAATCTTCTCCTGTAGCATGGGCCAAAGTGGCTTGGAGCTCCCTTATTACTTCATCAAGGCCAAGTGGGTGATCTCTTATTTTTGGTGAAGTGAATCTAATTGCTTCCAATGGCCCAAATCACTTTAGTTGTGTCATAGAGTCCTAGTAGATATCAATCTCCCAGCTGTGCATTTTGAAGACAATAAAACTTCTCTTTGAAAACTGAGTTCTTTTATCCTAATATTAGTTGCTCTGTCAAGTTGATGGAGGATGACCACTGAATTAAAGTTATACCCCCCCCCCCAAAGAAAGGAAGAAAAGAAGAAAATATCAGTTTAAATGTTCTTGGAGTAATAAACTGTCATTTTATTGCATATAAATCGATCTATATATGGAAAACATAAATAAATGACTAATAAAATGATTGATCAAATAAAATAATTGCAATGGAATTGAACTCGTAATAAATAGTAAATGAGAAACTAATCGAGGCATTATTGATACACACACACACACAATCTTTCTAAAAATTTCAACGTAAAAGAAAATATTCTATTTCTCACTCCAGTGAAAGCTCAAAAATATTAGATGGCTTTCAGGTTCAGATGAAAATGCCAAGAGCTATGCCATAGCTACTAATGAGTGAACCTGGCTGTCACCAGGCAGGGTGATTTTATCTCCCTCTTCATGGCCACTCATGGGGCAGTCTCATCTGGTATGGTTGATTGGTGGTTCTCTTCTGATGGTATAGAGGCATAAGGGATTCCAGGCAGAGTGGGGTGCTTGTGAGTCTTTGCCACATTGCCAAAGCATCACACAGAAACTCAGTCACATCATCACAGTGACAGGTGATGGGAAGGCCCTTGACTCAAAACTCCACTCATGGAGGCTGGAGAAGAGGGAAGGGGGGTCATTTCATGCATCAGATAGCTACACAGCTAGAACCAGCACACCCATCTTGATTCAGCCTTCTCTGAAACAGGAGTGGCGCTTGGCTTGCCTTGGTTTGGAAGCAGCTTTTGGGGGTGGGTGAGAGGCTTGATAGATGGATGGATGGATGGATGGATGGATGGATGGATGGATGGACAGACGGACAGATGGATAGACAGATGATAAATAGATGATAGGCAGGCAGACAGACAGGCATAGACAGACAGGCAGACATAGACAGACAGACAGACACACACA